TGGTTTGATGGTTTTGACAGTTTTATCGTATTTTGACGAACTTTTCAGTAAGTAAAATTTTTAAATAACCGGACGTTTTTAATAAGTTAAAACAACGGTTTTTCTAAAGATAAGTAAAGATTTTCACGGTAGCACCCCAAAACAGTTTCGCAAAGTAAAAATGTTTTGGTTTTCACAGACTTTGCGAATAAATGCGCTACTCTGATTTACTAGTAAAGTGGGGTGTTACAAATTTATTACAAGCATTCACCAACCCAAAAATTCCTTGACATGTCCAAGGCTTTAAAAACAACATACATTCAACATGAATTAAAAACCATACATACGGGCCACAATAGTCGGATTCGAAACACCTGCAAAAACTTATTGCAATTTCTAATCTACTATGCCGCTGCGTCCGTACGGATATAATTCATGTACACATGCAAAGTCCAAAATTCAAACCGTGCACGAGTTTGCATTAGCCTGGCTCTGATACCAGTTGTTGGGTTCTGTTAGGAACGTCAAACAACATGCACAGTATTGAACTTTATCGAAATAAATCCTAACGCAGGGACGTTCGCAGACTGTCGCGCGCGTACTTCTTGCGCGCTGGCGATGCGCGATGGAGATTGGCGGCAACTGTCGAGCAGGGGCGCTGCGCGAACAGGCGTGTGATGCCTGGGTTTATCGCGCGGTAGTGCTGGGCGTTGTTGGTTGTCGCTGAGAACGGACATCGGGCCTGGCGATGCGCAGCTCGCGTGCGACGGCTTGCGATTGCACACGGCTGGACTCGGGGCGGCGACCGGCGGCAGTTGGTGATCTCTGGCGGTGGTTCACGGCGGAGGACGGCGGATATCGGACGGTGATGATGACCAAATATGTATGTATTAGAAAGCTCAATCAATTGTACCAAAAAGCCTTCTAATGGATTACCTAAACACCTATTCCGATTAAACTTGGTGGAGCGTTTAATCGGATCTCCCAAACTCTAGAACAAAGCAAATCTCACGTGTTTGTAGATGAGAATTTCGGCCAACACTAGCTTGTAGGAGAGTATGGGACATGGTGTATATATAGGCTCCATTAGGGACCTTAAGGAGGTGCTAAATATGGGCTTATTCCATTAGGCCTAAGACTCCTAATTCCAATCCAATACTAACTCAATCTAGGAAGGAGATCTCCTACTAATCTCTCTCTTCTAGAAGACTCCTAAGTCTCCTAACACTAGAGAAGATCCTTGTAGGAATTTCCTTTCCTAATTAAATTAATAAACATAAAATTAAATCCTAATTTATGAAACCTAATTTTACTCCAATTAATTAATATAATGTAGGAAATATATTTCCCACTAATCTTCATCTTCTAGAAAACTCCCAAGTCTCCTAATCCCAAGAGAAGATTCTAGTAGGAATTTTATTCTCCTAATTAATTAATTAATATGGAATAAAATTAATTCCTATTTAATGGAATTAAATAATAAAACATCCCACTAGAGTAATATTATTGCTCTCCCCATTTTGCCACTATTTTACCAATAAAATCAAGCCTCCATGATTAAATAATATTAATCTGATT